AAGAACATTTTCTAATTCGGTTTCACGGCACTGAAGCACCTCCCTGACAACGAACCTACAGGAAGACTGCGTCATAACTTGTCCCCGATACCCAATGTCGCCAGTACTCAAGGACTGAATTATACATTCTCCAATTCCTCCGTTGCTTGACAAATTGGATTACAATAGTTTAAATGTCTATAACTCGATAAGGGGTGCTCTCGCTGTGAGGGCGGCCTTTCAAGACGCTTAAACTTAATTAACCGCGATCCTTAAAATACAGCATCCTGTGCAGGACAAACCACTTGAACTTGTCAAGGTCAAACGTTATCAATAAAGTAACGTTACCGTGTTGCGAAAATATATCCAAAAATGATAACATTGATTAAGTAGTATTATTTCTAACTTTATGTCAAAATATGATGTAGGCCTACATGTGCAAGTATATCAATGAGAGTTTGTTTGTTTGTTGTTTATCGCCGCATTCAGCAATATTCCAGCTATATGACGGCGGTCCGTAAATAATCAAGTCCAGACCAGACGATCCAGTGATTGGCATCATAGGCATCGATCCACGTAAATAGGATACTATGACAAGCATCAAGCAGGTCAGCCTCTTACGACAAGCATAGTCGCCTTTTATGGCAAGCATGGAATGCTGAAGACCTATTCTACCCTTGAACTTCACGGGTCTAATGAGTGAGTGAGTTGGGTCTAACGCCGTTTTGAACGTATATCAATGAATGAATTACATTTCTGGTGAGTGAGTGAGTACAGTTTTACGCCGCTTTTAGCATATTCCAGCAATATCACGGCTAGGGACATCAGAAATAGGCTTCATACATTGTACCCATGTGGGGAATCGAACCTGGGTCAACGGCGTGACGAGCGAACGCTTTAACCACTCGGCTACCCCACCGCCCCTGCTCGAAAAGGTACATATATGTTCAGGATATATAATGAACAATACAAGTCAGGGATCATGAATATTTTCAACACACAACTTCATAAACACATCCCCAAGCATCTGCATGATGACTAAGGTTTTTGTTCATTATATAAAAAAGCGCTAAGCCTTTTTTACAGGAGCAAACAGGCTAAGTCATACGCAAATAAGTGCTACCGGATAACTTTAAATACAAATAAACATATTCGATAAAAATCGTACTAAAAATGAGCGAACGTGTGTCAGAATCGTTCTGGATAAATGAAAATATTTTCAAAATGACTTACACGGACATATGCCTGAAATCTTAAGCCTCATTAAGTTCCCTGTGACAACGTATCAAGGAGATCACCAGCGCCAATAAAATATTGGTTTTGTCTGTCACGAACTTAAACAAACCAAACGGAGACATTAAAACGAGGTGAAATATTTGTGGAGTAGTAATGTTTGCCAATATGTTGGTAATATTATACTCTTCTTTGTTTTCTATGAAACTTATACCTTATATTCAAGTACGTGTCTTTGTGTGTCAAAGTGAGAGTTGGTTGGTTGTTTGTTGTATAACGCCGCACTCAGCAATAGTCCAGCTATATGACGGTCTGTAAATAATCGAGTCCGTACCAGACAATCCAGTGATTGGCATCATGCGCATCGATCCACGCAATTGGGATATGATGACATGCATCAACCAAGTCAGCGAGCCTGACCACCCAAACTCGTCAGTCGCCTCTTACGAAAAGCATGGTCGCCTCTTACGACAAGCATGGGCTGCTGAAGACCTATTTTACCCCGGATTTTCACGGGTCTCGAAGTGAGAGAAGGCATGTGGGACACAGAATACACATCGTCACTAAGTATTCAAGCTACTTGTGAAAGGAATCGAATGGACTTAAGTTATCGAGGAAATACGTCAACGTGCGAAAACAACACAATGATTAAATCCTACCTAAGAAGCTTGCATTCTCGGGACCCGTGGAGATCTTGGGTAGAATAGGTCTTTGGCAACCCATGCTTGCTACAACAGGCGACTATGCTTTGTCGTAAGAGACGACGAACGGGATCGGGTGTTCAGGTTCACGGACTTGATTGATGCATGTCACCGTATCCCAGTTGTTTGTATCGATGCTCATGATATCGCTCACTGGATTGTCATGTCCAGACTCGATTATTTACAAACAAAGCATTCTCAGGGGAGGGGATTGAGGGTGGGGTGTGTTCTGCATTTAATCAATAAGAAGGCAAGTACGTTCTATTTTAAGTCAGATATGATATTCATGCAATAATAAAGAGCAAACTTGAAGTATGATTTAATACTAGGGTAAGTCGGGCTTGTTTGTACATTGTCCTTGATCGTTGGTTGACTAGTGACGCAGTGTGCTTTTTACCTTCTCCGTAAAGAATATTCTCGTGATTTGGTGGCCTTGATAAAAAAAACCGCAAGGATGTAAATGAGAATATGCGTGCAATCATTGTCTTGGTTATCTTCTTTGTGAGATAACGAGTCACGCAAAGGCCGCGTGTCACTTGTGAAAGTAAGAAAATACACAAAACGAAGAATTTGAAAAAAATAGTTAATTACTGTTCCCGAAACGTTTGTTTTAGTTTTTTTCCTTGAAATCGGGAAATGAAAATAAAAATATTTTCTTCTGAAAGTTGAATGAACCTATCGTTTTGCTTTTCGTGAAGTTGTCATGCACGTTATACATTCGGATGCACGATAGCAACATGTTGCTGATGGGGGTGTTAGGATTCATTGCTTCTATTGCAGTGTAGCAGGAAAACATTCTATGACGTTTGAAGGATGATATAACTGCGCATGTGCATAACGTGCACAGCTACCGCCTTTTGTTTCATACCCGCCGTATCAATATTCATGAGTGTGTTTTACGCCGCGTTTAGCAATATCACGGCGGAGGAGTCATGAAATTGGCCTCATACATTGTACCCATGATGGAATCGAACCCGGGCTTTCGGGGCGAGCACTGTATCCACTAGGCTACCCCCACCCCTCCCGACACACACCCCACCCCACCCAAATTCTTTGTAAAAGTTGTTCACCTTGGACATGTGTAACGTGTAGGAAATTGTTTTGAGGGGTGGGGCAGGGTGGGTACCTTTAGCAGTGTCTTTCCTCTATCTGCGGGGAAAAAACATGTGAAAATATACCACCCGCCAGATTAACGTGATTGCACTGTCAACATCAGTGACTGAAATAGGAAATAAGGGTCTTCTACATCTATACTATGTATTGTGGTGTTTGGGCTTGAATAATTCATGTGGTAATAATTATGGACGGTTAAGATGGGCGACGAAAGACATCGCAGGAGTTATAGCTCTGTTGAAGACAACACGCATTTAAGTGTGACAGATGGTCTTGGGAAATATCTTGGAATTGGCGTATTTGTTACCAAGGGAATCTCAGCTTGCAACCAAATTAAATGAAGACCTCGTGAACGATATCGAGACCGATGAATATCGATCGTACATTTTAATCGTGCACTCCTGATATTACCTTTGATTGATAATAAGTGAATCCATTATCAAGATTAGAAGCTTGTTACAAATATTTCCTTAAAATCATTTTAGAAGCCTCATGCATAAATAACAATATAAGTGGAATTTGAAAATAACGGAATGAAAATAATCTTTACAATAAATTTCTGATTTTCAGTTATTGATTCATATTATTTTCAACGCTATGTTGCGTTTCACGCCCAATGGAATCTGTTCAGGTGTATAACCTATTCTGTTTTTTCTCTTGACGTTTTTTATTTATCTTTGCTCATAAAATATTTCGCTTTGGCTTTGTCAAACACAAGACTAAATGGCAGGTCAAAAGTGTTCAGAAAATCAGGTCAATGTTGCCAGGTCATAAAGCCACCTTTCACGCAAATATAAATGACGTGGGCCATGACACCAGATTTTATCAAATACCATGATTCTAATTGCGTTGGAAATTTGAGTTGAATATTTCAGTAACGAAAGATCAATTATCAATTGACCAAAAAGAGAGAAAAAACAGAATTATCATAAAACTGAAAATATCAGATGCACGACACATTACATCCCGGGACTATTGTAGCGATCTCATTTATTCTGGTCATGAAACATTTAGACCGAAAAATAGAATTTCTAATGAGAATCGAAATTGCAATCAATCCTCATTCAATTATTAAATGTTAATGTAGGTGGAATATGATCGTGAAATAAAATGTCACACATCCTGTGTATGTGCTAGTCATTGTATCCATATGATTCTTTTATTCCTTTTTATTGCATCAAAACAGTCACGCGAACTATGCGTCAAGGTTCGCTGCCACATTGCAGCATCTTGTCTGGACGTTGTCATTGATGACACAGTATTAACCTGAGTGATCGTCCTGGATTTGTTTGCTTTGCACTCGCCAATAGTCCTGTCATATCACGATCTGTAAATAATACACCTTGCGCGGGAAAACCGGTGATTGAGAAGATGACAAACTTCCAACCTCGTTCGCGTTCAATTTAAAGCATGCAACCGATTCAGAAAACATGACAGTCTTAAACAGCGGTGTAAACTGCGTGTTGTCCTGATACAGTCTCAAAGAGCTATATTAACTACATGCAGACAATCATAAATAGCTACACAAACTATATGCAGTCCTATTGGCAGTAAGTGTGAGTGTGTATGGTTTTACGCCGCTTTTAGCAATATTCCAGCAATATCACGGCGGGGGACACCAGAAATGGGCTTCACACATTGTACCCATGTCGGGAATCGAACCCGGGTCTTCGGCGTGACGAGTGAACGCTTTAACCACAAGGCTACCCGTCCGCCCCCCTATTGGCAGTGCCAAACAGCGGCATAAACTAATTTGAGTCCCATTGACATTCTCAAAAAGCAGTATAAAACTACATGTAGTCCCTTCTTCAGTATGAACCAGCGGACAAATTACGCGTATTTCTGTTCACAGACTCATGCTTCATAAACTACGTGTAGTCCTTTTGAAAGTCTCAAATAGCGACCTAAGCGAGTCTTATTTACAGTTTCAAATAGCGGCATACAGTTGCCCTACCGACAACACCAAACCCTTACCTGCAGAAATAGGCCGATTCTCTTGTCAGACCCGATCTGGGAGGGGTGTCAGGTTGGTGGACGCTTATTCTTAAAGACCCCGTGGCGACATCAGTTTGTTTTTTCTTCTTCTTTCTAATGGATGAAAACGCACGACGGAGAACCCCAAGATTGGCCTTTACATTTTCAACGTTTGTTTCCGTATCCTCTGTATCGAATTCCGTCTCCATAATTGATCTTCCACTTGGGCTATACGACCGACGAAACATGCTGGCTCGTGAGTATGCGAGATTTAATAAATAGAGTTCAAGGCAGGAAACGATTCTCCAGAGAATGTGCAACTTGTGGCTTCAATGTCAGTCCTTTGGGGCTTGCTGTATATGCCAGTTGTTGTCAGTACAGAACGCCGATCAATGCTGGAGTATTGGGAAACGTTCCTCAAGGAAAGAGCAATATGTGCCTAATGGTAGTAGTTGTAGCGCTCAGTGCTCGCCACCGTCACACCAATAACACTTCAGAAGAAGCAGCAAGTATTCACAGTGTATATCACCCACATATGGAAACACCTTTCTTCCAGGACCTGAACAAATCAGAATTACTCCGACACCAGAGAAGAAAATGAAATATGAATACTTTGCTAAGATACGTAGAAAGCATGCGTAGGTGTACACAATTCAAGAATACTCGCATTGGTCAGACTTCGACGGCAGGGGTTACGGGAATAAATGTGTGTCCAGCTTCGCATCTGACCTCTCTGAGGTACCAGATTGATGCAGGGTTTATGCCCAGTGTTTGTCACTATATCCAGAGTGTATGGGTCGAGAACGCTGCTATCCAGTTATATACTGACGACACCATGTTTGATATCTGTGTATGACGTCATAGCAGGACGTATCGAGCAGCCATGCAATAGCTGCACGTGACGCTAAGAAACAGCTGCTGTGTCAATAATAACAAATTATCGTCTCAAGCATTCACATAGAAACATTGGGTGTGAAAGCCATGAGAATATCCTGGTAATGTTCGATAATGGTATTGGGTCTGCTGTTCTTTACAGAAGATAAGACATTATTGGTTCGATGTCCATTTACCTGAACTCCTATGAACTCTGACCACTCACTCCAAAACATGCGCCAGGAAACCTCCCATATAACTCTGAGTATTAGACCAGCACGGAAGATCAATGTATGTAAATACGCGAGTAGTCTGTGCAATAGCCATCTGAATAGCGTTGACTTTACACATCTTCAACAGAACTGACGCTTTGGATCCACGTGATTAACCGCGTCAACAAGGATTTCTGGAGAGGCCAGCAGTGTTGTGTTTGTCTGCTCAATGCTTCTGATAGTCTGTTTCAAAAGACAGACATACGCCACAGTATCCTTGAATCAAGTAATGATTACATCCCATTCCACAAATGAAATCTTCGATTTCGTGGGCCGCAGTGTAGTTTGTACCGGGGGCTACTGTTATCAAATCCGAGATAATTAGTGTGGTCGCAAGGTCAGGTACTACAAATGCCCTTCAATGATTTCGACCAGCTACGAACACAAGCGGCAAAAATGACGACTTTACTATCGGAGCAGACGACACTTTCCCATAGATGAGTGGACCTATATTAACGCCATAATGAGGCCACGAGCGAGCGGAGAACCGCGCATGGCATTTCCGCGCCTTCACGTGCGTCTGAAGTGCTGTGTTTATCGACCACGTGCTCGGGAGCAACGACAGCCTTTCTCAACCCGAGAGATGTCAGAACAATTTTCTATGCCAGGTTTGAAGCGGTGATTCGTCCGTGACACTACACACGCATTCTGTCGGTAATGCAGTTAGCTCATGTCCTAAATATTCACGTCTAAACTCACAACCCTATTTGACACCAATAGGCGAACAGGCAATCAAGGCCTCTGGTAGCGACACCAGTTTATGAAGCTCCATCAGTGAAGGATCCTGTCCAATTAAACGACCCCCTCCAGCCCCGGAGCACAGAGCTACCGAATCACACCTGGCATCTGTTGGGAATGATAGGCCCACGGGGCAGTTATTATCCCCAATATTTATATAGGATTAGTGTTATCATATGAAGGTACATTAACCGAGACTAAAATATACCCCATATATTGACAGGTGACTGTTAGGCGGTTTCGTCACAATATGCGTGTAATGCCATGGCGCATTGAGTCTTGTTGTTGTTGAACTACATTGCATAATGCTACCGTGTGAAATATGGCCTGACCTGCAGATGTCGTATTGATCTTCTACTTCACTAGACAATACAAATGTAAAACAGGTGGTGACCTCTATGAGACTTGGACATGCTTCGGTGGGGTATATATAAACGTGTACTAAATATACAATATATTTTAACATTAATATACAAAAAAAAAATAATACGATTCGATCAATTTTGAAAATTGAAAATGGATTTTCACATGCGGTTTATTTGTCTTTAATTATAAAAATGATTCTTTTTTTTCAGGAATGGTGGTAATTACATGTACATAACAATACGCATCATGAAGTGATTTTGGGGACCATGTGGTAAAATAATTGGGTCGTAAGACAGAAGTGAGTGAGTATGGATTAACCCCGCTTTTAGCAATGTTCCAGCAATATCACGGCGGGGGACACCAGAATTGGGCGTCAAACATTGTACCCATGTCGGGAATCGAACCCGGGTCTTCAGCGTGACGGGTGAACGCTATAACCAATAGGCTACCCGACCGCCCTTCGTTATAAAGAAGATCCAGGTTTGATATATAGTGAATTGCTGACTTGAGCCTTAAAAAAACCCATTCACTTCACTCGTCTTAATAGGCTTATAGTTAGGGCCTGTACCGGTTCCATTCCCTGCATGGTGCATTATCTTAAGCCCATTTTGGGTATCCCTCGCTACGATATAACAGGAATGTTGCTGAATGAAACGAAAACCAGTCAAACATTACTGAAGTTACATGCCTAGCCACTGTACAATGAACGCATTCACGCTTTGCCATAACGCCACGGGACCCGCATCCTTAGTTGAACCGGAAGAGCCGAAGTATGGCCGACAATTGATAACACAGTGTCGAGCTCCCTGGCTTGCACTCTGTGGCTCCCGACTAACACATTGAAAGTGTAGCAAGTGTATTTCTTAAACCTCGACTTCCTCGTCTGTTAATAACTGTACGCATACATTCACCGTGAGAGGGCAGTGGACGTTTCACAGCTTCGATAAAAATAGTATGAACGTGGTGTATGAATGTCAGTAAATCCTTTGTCGATTAAACGAGACAGAATGAATCATTATGCATTGTGTTAATATCCGTTCGATCTTTATGATAGAGTTCACAGGGTTGTGGTAAGTCCCTTGGCGGCCATTGTAATATAAACCTGGAGCTTTGCCTTGCAAAGACAGAGTAATTCAGTAGGACAGGGCAATGCATATATATCGCAAGCGAGGCACCAACGGGATGTTAAATTCTCTGGAGGTTGAGAAAAATAGGAAATTGTACATTTTCTGAAAGCATCGATCCTTCCATGGCATTGTACAGCTGTGGCATAAGCGATATCAGGAGTTGTCGATCGCTATTTGGAGTAACGTACAATAAGCCGATATTGCAAGAAACGCCATGGCGTGTCTCTTAAAAGCTTCCGACGACGCAAACGATTTCGATCTGTTAGATAGCTTTTTAAAAGATAAAGCATTCAGACATTCTCTGTAATCAACAAAACAGTAGTTTGCTGGGACAATAACGAGGCATCGTCTCTTATTATTCAACAGAGTTCTTCCTATTTAACATGCACATGTTTAGGGGACGCAAAAGGACGTCTAACGCAACAAAGTTATTGGGAAATATAAACACCAAACATTCCGTTGGGTAAGATGAACTTATCTTATTCATGCAGCTGATGTTTATAAATATTCATAAACCAGGAACATCTACTAAGTATAGGCGTTGTTTGTGACAGTTGCTTCCTGTGTAGTATAGCCTCATTTGAAGAGGGGGGCACGGGTGGCCCAGTCGTCTAAGGCGCCGCGATTCGCTGTGCAGAGTTGTGTCCCTTTGGCACGCCAGAAACCTATGATTGTGGGCTCGAATCCCGGTTCGCCCCGATTATGTGTCTAGGTTTGTCAGCACAATACCCGTGCTCGTGGGTTTCACCGAAGTGGTATACGTCTGAGACCTGCCTTACTTCGGGAAACCCAACTCACCCACTCACTCACACCAAATTGTATCCATTGAGGCCTCGATTTCCAAATAAGCAGGGTTTGCTTTAACAAGGTTGTACACAACAGTAATTGCGTATTGCCTGGAAAAGGGGGTTTGGAGACACTGGAAATCTTCTTAATCATTACATGACAAAAGTTAAGCGCAAGTTGACGTATATGCTTAAGGCTTGCAAAGAACGAAAGTGCTTACTGTTAGTACCAAACGGGATCCTTTTAAGTATGTATCGAGCCTGACCACTCAATCCCGTGTCAAGTATAAGTCCACCTACTATATATATTCTGTACTATGCCTCTCATACAGTCTTGCTTGACAACGGTATAAGGATCTAATACCGAAACGTCGCTTTTTACAGTTATTATAAAGAAGTTGTTATCCAAAAAATTGTGTCTCCCTTGTCATCCGTCAACTTCTAAGTAAGTAATGCCTATCAAACAAATTAATCCCGTGTCATTATGAGTTCGGCGTGTTGGACATATACACATGCAGCTAAGCAGTGCACTTGGCGCTGCTACTCTAGGTTTTTGTTTGCCCAACTTCTTGTGGTGCTAATTATACAGTTCACAAGTACAGTCCTATAAATATATCCAGAATGTTTTTTTGTTTACCGCCGCACTGCAATATTGCAGCTACATGACTGCGGTGTGTGAATAATCGATTCTGGAGAACATAATCAAGTGATTGATAATTGCGTAACGTCACACACCGGGGTACGATGACACGTGCAATGCAATTGGGATTCGATTACATGTATCAACCAAGACACCGAACTCACCTGATGCAATAAAGGACCTATTATTCGAAGCCAACCATATGAAATTCTTTTTTACAGAAAATAAATCCTGACAAAGAATTGACCAAAAAACAAATACTCTGTATCAAATACGGCTCCAAAAACACAGTCACAGATATTATGCCATATTATTATGCCAAAAAGCTGTACCCCTGGCAAAGCCAAACACAAAAATAATATTGTCTCAATGTTTGAACATTTATTTTAAGAAAAGTGATTCAATTAGTGCTGTTCTCGTTCATTAATTACACTGTTCTGATCATAAATCGAGTCTGTAAATCAGCTTCATTTTCTTTATCAGGTTTCTTTGAATCTTCTGGAATATCCATTTAATAGTTTACGTTAATCCTTTCTGAAAATGTAGGTGTAATAATGAAGTACATTTACAAGACAAGGAACCCTAATACAGGTCATTAATCTTCATTATCCTGCTCAGCATCTCATAATCCATTGGGTCAAGTTTCATCCATTCATTACACGCGACAGAAAGGAGACAACAAGAGATTTCATTAGGATACGCCCATGCATATTAAGAACTCCCTTGAACCACATGTACCAGGGACCAGTGAAGATCCGGGGCAGAATAGGTCTTCAGCAACCCATGCTTGCCGTAAAAGGCGACTACGCTTGTCGTAAGAGGCGACTGACGGGATCGGATAGTCAGGGTCGCTGACTTGGTTGATGCATGTCATCGATCCCAAATGCGTGGCTCGATGTTCATGATGCAATCACTGGATTGTCTTGTCCAGACTCGATTATTTACAGACCGCAGTCATATAGCTGGAATATTGCTGAGTGCAACAAATAAACAGAAACAATGTACCAGCTAATCAGCATCGTGTGAGATGACGTGGCGTCTAACGCCGCGTTCAAGATTGTTGCACTCATATAGCGACGTGTACAACTGATATACCGTGCCGTAGTTTAACATGGATACCCCACTAAGACACAATATACTGATTCCGAGCTGACCAGTCCTTGTTTCATCCCATTAATCCCGAGCGCCAGGCCGGAAACAACAAGTGGGTTGGTATGACGCGGCTGGGGAATGAACTAACGACCTTGCGGTTGCCGGCCAGACGCACTGTCCACTAAGCCACGTAGGAGATCAAGTAATCAACATGGCCAAAGCCAGGATGAGGTTGTTTTGCAAGAGTGGAACCTGTAGTGTATGTCTTATCAGTTATTGAGGTAACCATGGTAACGGAAGATGAAAATGCATATAGTTAGGGTGATCAGGATGAACAGTGTTAATATACATGAGGTAGGCTCAATATGTCAGAGATACGTCTTGTGAACATCGTCCACATTTGTATACCTCTGGCAATGGTTTCTTATAAAATATTTTCTTATTTATACATTATTACAAATTACCATCTGCCCATGGTTTTAGAAATGTGCTCCAGCCCCTGTTTAACGCCGCTCTCGGCAATATTCCAGCTATATGACGGCGGTCTTTAAATAATCGATTCTTCACAAGACAATCCAGTGATTGGCATCATGAGCATCGATCCACACAATTGGGATCGATGACATTAATCAACCAAGTCATCGAGCCTGACCACCCCATCCCGTTAGTCGGCTTTTACGACAATCATAGTCGCTTTTTACGGCAAGCGTGGGTAGCTGAAGACCTATAATTCCATCCCGGATCTTCACGGGTCCCCAGGTGCTGATATCGTATCCCGCTGGTGACCAGGTTGTTATTCAGCCTTGGGACCAACACTATTTACAGGTGTTTTCACTACCCCTAGTGTACAGTATATTTAACCCTGTGCGCTTAAAACCCATTAGATGACCAGATGGTGGAAACATGAGTGAGTGAGTGAGTGAGTATGGTTTTACGCCGCTTTTAGCAATATTCCAGCAATATCACGGCGGGGGTCACCAGAAATGGGCTTCACACATTGTACCCATGTCGGGAACCGAACCCGGGTCTTCGGCGTGACGAGCGAACGCTTTAACCACTTGGCTACCCGACCGCCC